CTGGGTAGAGTGCTGTGGCATCACAGCTCACAGCAACCTCCAACTCTTGGGCTTAAGCGATTCTCTTGCCTCAGCCTCCCAAGTAGCTGGGACCACAGGTGCCTGCCACAATGCCCAGCTATTTTTTGGTTGCAACCGTCATTGTTTTTTGGTGGGCCCGGGCTGGATTCAAACCCACCACCTTAGGTGTATGCGGCTGGCACCTTAGCCAGTTGAGCCACAGGCGCCAAGCCTACCTGCAAGTTCTTATGGGGCAAAGAACCATCCTCCAGGGCTGGGCATGGTGGCTATGTTTGTAATCCCAGTACTTTGGGAGACTAAGGCAGGAGTTCAAGACCAGCCTGAGAAACATAGTGAGACCCTTTAAGACATTAAAAATAAGCTGGCATGGTGGCATATGCCTATAATCACTTGAGACCAAGCAATTGAGGTTGTAATAAGCTATAATTGTGCCTCTGCGCTCCAGCCTGGCAACAGAGCAAGATCCTGTTTCTTAAAAAAAACTGGCCAGGCATGGTGGCTCATGCCTGTAATCCTAGCACTCTGGGAGGCCAAGCTGGGTAGATAGCTTGAGCTCCTGAGTTTGAGACCAGCCTGAGCAAAAGTGAGATCCTGTCTCTACTAAAAATAGAGAAGCTGAGGCAAGAGAATCGCTTGAGCCCAAGAATTGGAGGTTGTTGTGGGCCATAGCCACAACAGGCACTCTACCCCGGGCAATAGCTTGGGACTCTGTCTCTAAAAAACAAAAAACAAAAACAAAAAAATCTCTGCCCTGGCTCGGCGATTGTGGCTCAAGTGGCTAAGGCGCCAGCCATATACACCTAAGGTGGTGGGTTAGAATCCAGCCCCGGCCCGCCAAATAACAAGGACGGATGCAACCAAAAAAAAAATAGCTGGGCGTTGTGGTGGGTGCCTGTGGTCCCAGCTACTTGGGAGGAGGAGGCAGGAGACTCGCTTGAGCCCAAGAGTTGGAGGTTGCTATGAGCTGTGATGCCACGACACTCTACTCAGGGGGACAGCTTGAGGCTCTGTCTCAAAAAAAGAAAAAAAAAAACAACAACCCTGCCCTCCCTATCAGACCATACTGACTTCTGCTCCAAGCTCTTACAGCACTGTATTGTACCACTGCCTCCCCTGTGGACAGGGCACTTTCCAGGACAACTATGGCTTTCCTGATTCCATCCTGAGGAACCAGTGCAGGACTTGGTGCACTGGTCCCTGCAGAAGTGTGCTGTAGGACAGGTAGATGCAGTCCCCAGCGCAGGCCTGGCCAGCAGGACTATGACAACAAAAATCCCTATCTGGGCCATCCAACACTGGGGCCTCTAGTGTGGCTACGGAACTGCTTTCTAACTGTACTTAATTCTAGTTCATCTGAGCAGCCACATGTGGCTAGTGTCTACCACAGCAGACAGCAGGGCTCTAGATTCTCCTCTGACCACTTTCATACTGGCCTTTTCCTTGCAGGGGAAGAGAGGGAAGGTAACTTCCTGGTCAGCCTGGCTTTTGGGTAGTCCAGTGCAAGGAAAGGGACTAGACAAATTGATTTAGCACAGACCTTGGTTGAACCCAGGAGGTTCTACGATAAGAAATTAATCCGGCTCGGTGCCTATAGCTCAACCGGCTAAGGCACCAGCCACGTACACCTAAGGTGGCGGGTTCGAATCCCCAGCCCGGACCCGCCAAAC